AATAATAATAATCATAATAGCAATATGGACATGACCCAAAGCAAGCATTCAGAGCAAATCCAACACGTTGAAGGCTGTAGGTTCTGTATTAAAAAATTATTTCCGTTGTGCCGCATTCATTGTCATTTCCGGCGAACAGTTGATAAATATATCAGGAAAATACAAAAAAAAAAAAAAATAAAAATGCCTCCTGAGGCGTTGGCCTCATATGCTGTTGTTCAGAATGTGCATGTGTCGAGGTAGGTAAGTGAGAACCTTCCACAGGGGTTGCTGAAGGACGCATTCGACCAGGCTGCACTGCCGCATTTATTGCGTTTTGCCCCATATACGGATATGGCGAATAACCTGCATATGTCAAGAACAATTAAAAAAATTTAAATCTTTCTCCTTTTACTTGAGATGTGCAATTGGTGCTTTTTTAATTTATCCAAAATTTGCTTGTATGCTGGAAAAAAATGTATCAGTTCTTTTACAGAAAAAAGGTACCATACCAGCAGTTCCCTGAGTTTGTGGAGAAGGCGCAGACATATGCTGCATTACCGAAGCAGTAGAAGGACGCGACATATGCGTATGCTGCAAATTATGCATGCCGGCGCTAGCAACTGGTGATGAACTTCTGAAGATTTAACGACGTTAATAAGTAATAAAGAGTATGTTCAGATCTACAGATTTATAATATTACATACAGCAGTAGAACTCTATTATGAAAAATATAACAAATTGAAAAGTTACTATCTTATTCGGTCAATCCCATCAACAAACAGTTGCATGCAATAAGAAATATTCAAGACAACATTCTAGGCTGTTAGTTATTATTTGTCTTGCCAGAGCAAGTCAAAACTTATTGACTGACTATAACATAAAAATAATGAGGACGAGAATGATACACTGTCTAGACAGAAATGACTGACGTAAATAAATGACCACCTGTAAAATTATGATGGTGAACGTGAAAGGGAAAATTAAGCTGCATTATAATTAGCAATGTGAACAAGTTTTCTCCTGTCATTACCTTAGTAAGTTGACCAGCAATGGGCTGCTGGTATTAGATGCAGTCTGCGGTTGCTGCTGCTTCGCAGAACCTACTACAGCAGTTGCACTGGGCTGTCCAGTAGTCGCTCCCACATAACCATGCATCCCGACCACTGTCTGATATACATCATTATTAATCATACCAGCTTTTCGTTTACTTGGTGCATGACCGGTTGAAGTTGATGGCGTCAATTCATGTCGGCTATTCTCACTATAAAGCAATACATATAATGGATGCGCATATCTTAAATGTAAAATGTATTTAGTTAATTAGAAAAACTTCCACTTTCTACTGAAAAGAGGTTTCAAAACCCGTCATATCTAAGCAAACTTGCGTCAGAATAACCTTTTTTCTAATTTTTCAAAAACAAAAATTCTAAAAATTTCAACTGAATAGTGCACCTCTGATAAGAATCATAAACACGTGCTCGATCAGCTGCATTAGCATTCACTGGCACACCAGCCAAAGAATTCATTTCAGAACCTGCGCTGGGATATGGAAGTGAAAGTAGGCTTAGCGTTGCATCATTCACAACCACTGGTAATAGATTTGATTCACCCACTTTCACTGAGGTTATACCTGAAAATGTGAGATCGAATTACATATTCTGCGTAACACAATGTTTTTTCATTAGAATTAAAAATAGAGAATATTTTCGAATTTAAAACAGGAACTAAAGAATAATAAACAAATGCGGAGGCACTACCACCACCTAACTCTATCGCTTGAAATGAGGCTGAAACTACAAAAAATTATGGAATATGCAAAACTTGTGATAAAGGAGCCAGGTAATTTTGTGACAGCGCAAACATGCGTTGCGGGTTAGAGAAGTTCGAATGAACCGAAACCTTAAACGACTTAGTAGACCGTTTAGCCACTTTCTTGCGCTTCATTTTAAAGTCTAAAATTATGCAAGTGAGAGCCAATTTGGAATAAAAGTTTATAACATTGAAACCATACTTAAATGTTTCAATGTAGTTGGTTGTTTCAATGCTATCCGCAATAATTTAAGGGAAATATTAGACGGTAACAAAAATCTGCAACGACGACGTATAATTCGAGATAATTGGCAATCCTGTAACGTTGCTTTTTCGTCAAAAATATTAGTATGAGCTGTACTGGTAGATGGATAAGTTTCGTCTGTCAGCGTTTCTGAACTGGACGACAAAAGGATATCGTCCGTTGGGACACTCGATGAAGGTTCATAATTGCAGCTGCTGCTCTTCTGTTCTTCCACTGAAAACAATAACATCTTTAACGTTATCTATGTTTTAAATGTAATTCAAACATTCACTTTCTAATATGCTCATAATACCATCTATAACACCAAATATGTCCTTGTAATAATATTTCATTTGTTTTTTCAGTTTTTTAAGTATTATTTTCGACTCTGTAACTTTTCCCTCCCATAATAGAAATAAAAGTGGATGGACTCTAAAATTGCTGTCTGTAAAAATGTCATTTCTGCTACAGCGTTGGTTCGTATTCCTCCTCAATATATCAGTGAACACTGCAACACTGAAACTAATATCATATTGAAGCATTCCAAAAGTTGTCGTCAGCACTCACCTTTGTTGAATGTTGTAGGGCAAGGAGTCAATATACGACCGTCAACTGCTGATGAATTGGAAAGGTTTGTAGCGCCAGTCGCACAATCAGGTTGTGACGATGAGGAGGATGATGAACAATTAGGAAAATTTGTTGGAGTTCCTGCCGCTGAAATGGACGCTGCCGGAGTTGTCCTATCAGTTCCAGAGAGATTATGTGTTTCTGCTGTTGCTTGTTGGTTGGTACCAAGCGACCGCTGCTCAGATTGCGGTTCTACACAAATACCGGCACACGACCACTGTTCGTTCATGCGGCATTCATAAGACGCTGTAAATAATATTTCCTAAAAACAATATAGGTTCTTTTCATTAGTAAATTATTTTAAAGTCTGTAAAGAGTTAATGAAAGGAAGTTATACGATAAAATTTTCCTTGGGATTCACTGCTTAGAATGCAGATGAATTCCGTACAACCGAAAACAGTTTGAAAGAGAGAGAATAAAAAACTGATTTTACGAAGACGTCGCATTAGTTTTGATAGAACGAGCGCGACTATGCCTAGGAAATTATATAAGGTAACCATCGAAAACATTAACGACCAAAGCAAACAATGAAACTTGGGTAAAACACTGTATTTGATTTTAAGCAAACTCACATTTTGCGCGAAAAGCTCTTCACCGCCGAATTTTGGCCGCGTTCATTAGATTATCAAAAAACTGAAAAAATGGAACAATAGACAAATTAATTCACATGTCTAACATCTCGTTATACGTATACGAAAAAGCGATTAAAAATAAGCAGAGATAATTGCATTACAAAGAGTACTCATCCTATTCCATGTCCCAACAATTTCCTTTTATCCTTTGAAGATTTAACATTTGCTTTTATGAAATTTTATCGTTTTACATCCATAGTTTCAACATGTTGTCTATTACGTTCGTTTCCCTCACTTCAATTTAGATTCTTTCAGTGTACTTCCCAGCCAGTGTAAAGCCCGGAATGCCTTACAACACATTTTTTCTGCTAGTAGCACATATGCATACCGAGTTTGCCGGATATTTACTACTTCGTTATTGGTTGTGAGAGAGCTTATCAAAGTGTACGAGCAAAGTTCTCACCCTCAACCAACACTTCTCTTCATAATCATCATACCTTCGTATCATGAGCCACATGATGATCGTTTAGCCAAAACTTATCCAAACAATGAAAAAGGATAAAAGGAGGAAACAGTGTTATCTACGTGTTGAAGTATCTCGCCTTAAGTAATAATCAAAGTAAAATCCACAAGAACTGACACCTACTACAAGAGCAAACAGCAAAAGATTGTAAACAACGTTTAGTATGTCGAGTAATATCTTCCCATGTTATTATATCACCCCATCTCTCGGACACCGTACATTACTCGTTTGCTTCATTCATTCACACCGCTTCCAAATTTTTCGAAAGAAGTTGGAAGTAGCCTTATCTCGTTATACCACTCCCCTCAAGTTACCAATTTATTGCTAATCAATAGTGACGTCTGCGCAGCCTTGAATGCACATTTTACAAATTCACAGATAAACGATTACAATTTAAATTTAATCAAAGCAAGGGATCATTAATAGCCTTCTAACTAGTTGACGCATTCAAGATCAGAGCAGTCCCAACCGAATATCTTCAATTGCGAGTTCTAGTAAAATAATATGTTCCTTCCTTAGAATCCATAAAACAAGATTAGTTGTCATCAACTAGACATAGTTACGATATGTCCCATATCCATCTATATTAGCATCCACATATAACAGAACTGAGGGACAGAGATACAAGCAATCCTCCCGAGTACATAGAACTTCCAGGATTAGCTCCTACTTTTTTGCATGGTCCAGAGTATACAAGTGCGAAGACATTGTATATGAGGAGATTTGCATGCACGCTTAATTTGGTATAAAAAACTGAGATGAAAATAAACCAAAATTGTAAATTTAAGTTGAAAATAAAAGAAAAAGAGAGAAAACGGAATAAATATCCATAACATACAATATCTTCACACGGAGCACGTTATAATAATACGCAGCAGCCGATTTACCACCCTTCTCATCAGATCGATATTTGATAACCAGAGATGAAGTTAGCAGGAACATCAAGTGACAACGGAAAGCGAAGGCAAATGACCTTTACAGCATCAAGTGGTACATTATGTGAAACACTTGATGTAGATGATGGAAACTTTGAATGTAAATTGAAAAGAGAATAACGGAGTGTCCATGCAGTGGATACTTCTATGACCTAATGTGTACTGTCATGGAGAAGAGATCAGATAATCACAGCTACAACTAAACGAAAAATGATTGATCCTTGGAGGTTTTATGATATTCATCACTATACGCTGCTCATGCTATGTACACTAGCATAGTACGTGGACCAGTTGCATTTTGCTGTAGTAGGGGTGTAGCAGCATTAACACTATAAACGATAGTTAGAGTAACTTTCGGCGACAACGAATCCCGTACAAGTGACTGTCATACTCCGAATGAATGTGATATAGCTGGGCTGTTGGCCAGAACGTCGCCCGCTACACTGATTACTGCCGTACCACACAATGCTACATTACAAAATGTCAACCGAGAGACCGAGAGGGGAGTGCTGCAGTCCCAGTACTAGCAGCGGGTAGCATACATATATACACACAAGCACACAGTAAGGAGTGGTCAGGACGGGTTGGCACTCTTCCAAGGGTAGCAAACAACTGGTGTGAAGACTTCATAGGTATGTTGTTTGGGTAGCCAGTAAGAGAATAAGCAAATATTCCTTTGGGAGAAGAAAACACTCGCCATGTGACGCGGCGTGCGTGCTACACCGCGCTGCTTTCTACAAGAATACTCAACGCGACGCAATACCTGTAGAAGCTAAGGATCCGCTGAGCAGCGGCATTAATAGCGACAGCAGCGAGCAGCACCACCAGTCCTTTCCCTTCTCCTTCGTCTTTGCCTTTCCCCCTCCAGTTTGCGAACGCCTCCGCCATGGGACCGCTCGCATTCGCAAATGATCCACGTCCGCTGCATTAGTGCGAGCGACACTGCCGCGCTGCACGATGATTGCACCATCGGCTTTGTCATAAGCGAAGGCATACGGTAGATGGGCGCCTTCTTTAAGCATTGCCGACCTTGCACACATCGATTGAAGGAGACATCCAGAGCGGCACCGTCCCGTTAGGTTAACGGATAAGACGCAGTTGTCGGTCGAGTGAGGCATGTGATGCTGGGAAAAAGATGTGGTCAGACAGACCTGCTAGAAGGTCACAGTTCGTGCCTTCATCTCATTGAACACATTCCCGCCCTATCGCCTGAAATGCTCGCATTCGACGTGCATTAACTATTTCCATGATAACGCTTACGTCCAATTCCGCACAATAAATATGTGAAAGATCGTTCAGCCAAACGTGAATGATCAAAAGCTGGGTCAGCTAATAAACACGACGCGCAGCTGCATTCCATCTTTCCGAAATCAATCGTCCCAACATTTCTTACCTGTGTAAATCCTTAGCTTTGCAATTAACATCGCTCACGACACCAGTTAACCATGTCTCCACTAGCTGTCCATCTAGTAACTGAGTCATGGGTAATTTGAATGCAAATGTCATGGTTTTGTACAAAGTTTATGGTCTGAATTTTGAGACATGTATAAAAAAACAACATAACAATAAGAACAGTGGAAAGCCTAGTCGAACAATCCGAATCCCATGTCTTCGTCCGATTCCTCTTTCTGTTCCTCTTTCTTCTCCTCTGAAAACACATTTCTTTGTCCTTTTTGACAGAAAACAAAAAACAATAACTTCGTAATCTCAAGAAGTTTCAAATCAAATACTGAACCTTTTTTGGATTCTGTCTCCAACACGTCAATGGGAGTTACTGAAGCAACTGGAGCCACTCTTGATACTGCATCAACTGAAGGCACTGACGAGATTTTTGCCAGACCTGCTGCAATTACCTGCAACTTTTTAGGAAACATACCCGTATCCTTCTATCGGAATTGATGTCTTCACTTAGAATCATTATATGATTTTTACTTTGCAGAGCTTTTCTTCAAACACCCTAATTAATACAAATTAGCCTAATCTGAAATGCCAAAACCTGTCAAAACATACTAGATTTGTATAAAGCTTATCGGATAGAAAATATCAACGTGATTGGCTAACCAAAGCCAAATAATTTCGGAAATGAAATTTAGAGTTGACAGGACGTTGCACCTAACTCTATATAAATTTGCACATCTTCAACTGAAAATGAACAAAACCTAAAAAAAAAATTCCTTTTTCCCACATGCATATAAAGCAGAAAGTTTTATGAAAAGGCCATTTGCAAAATGCCTAATTTTCAACAACATGACGAAGAGATATACCTCATCAATGGATTTCCCGGACAAGGCTAACACCACTTTATTCGCATCTTCCATATCAACATCACATCCAACTGATCCTGTAAAACACACAAAATGTGTTCCCTGGTTTGCATTTGTTAGGCAACTTGCGCAACTTTCATCGTGTCATATATTGCAATAGATCTAATAATCTTTGTGGACAAAGTGGGTGCACATGCATATACACATAGGTACTTGTACTTTCCCTGTATGTGCATATTATATATATGTACATACATAT